GATCATTCCAAGCCCAGGATATCCCAGCGATACGTACTTATCTAGCGGGATTAGTTCCGCGGCCTCTTCCGAGGTAGCCAGGGCACTTCCCCCACCCTCTATTTCTTCCATCAGGGCTCCGACTCGTCCAGGTCCGTTGGCGATGTGGGCCTCAGCCATAGGTGCGACCCCAATTCGCTGTTGCGAGGGTCGGTGGGGGCAAATCACGAACAAGATGGCCTGGCTGATGACAGGCGTAACAGACATTCAGATTATTTGCGACTCCTCCGAGAGCAGGGGCTGAGACTACTCCTTGCTGCATCGGAGGGGCACGCACCGTAATGGGTCGCATGTTCCTCATCATGGCTTCCAGCCGAGCATTGTGCTCTTGCTGGTCCTTTTTACTTTCTTGGATCAAACTAATCAAAGTTTTGGTTAGTTCGAAAATGGCCGCTGATTCGTTTGATCGTATAGGAGCCTCAACCGGCGGCGGGGGTAATGCCCTGACGGGCGGGGGCATCATAGGAGCAGAGATGCTCGGAGTCTCACTTAGGATTACTCGTTTCGGGCCTATCTGTTCCATATAGGTGACAGGTCCTGATACAAACCCCATGTTTTCACATTTGTTCTGTAAAGCGGCCAGCTCTGCTCTTGCTCGAGCGAGCTCAGTCGAATCTCCGTCTCTAGGGTAGTCTTCTCCTTCCAGGAAGTTCGCCACGAACTTCCGTTCCATTTCTTCCGCAACAGCCATAACTTGTTGCAGTGTATGAGTGATGGGGGAAAATTGCTTTCGCAACTTAGCCCTGATTGTTCGGCTGCGGAGCCCGTCGATGAACAGATCTCTCCCTACTTACTCACCTCGCTCAATTTTTACGAACATTCGGTAGAACCGGTTTCGATATTCCGTAACGGATTCGAGAACTTTTTGCACTCGGTCCTTGATCATGTATAGTGCTTGCTCAGGGTGAACATAATCGAATCGGTTCATAAAGTCCCGTTCGAAGGTCAGGAGATCCACCCATACATAGGTACTAAACCAATGATGGGCGTCTCCTCCCATTCGAGCCGGAATGTTGATCTGTGCTTCATTGTCGGTGTACTGTTGGGCTYTAAGTGTGGCCAGCCATGCTCCGGCGAGATGGTGTGCAGGATCGAACAAATAGAGATCAGGTGGCGTCATGGGAGYTCGGSCAYGCGGGGCGGGTTGATTTGGGTTAGCATTTTGTTGCTGAACCRGGTTCTGCACATTGGCAGCCATATTGGCTGCTCGTCGATTAGCCGATCTGCGTCGGGTGACGATAGGGTCGCGTCTATGCGCATTCCGGGGGCGAGGTCGCCCACGGTTAGCCAGRTCGCCTRATTAACKTGCTATCAATCCTAAGACSCTAGCCACGTGTCGGGCTCCGATACCAACCTCACGCCCAACGCGACTTCCTGATCGGAGTGGAGTGTGGGCCTGGAAGTGCGAAAAGGGGTGTGCCAAGGATTTTTGGGGGAAGTGGGGGAGTCTTAAGGGTATGAATGCAATTAGGCGAACGAGGGGTGCGCGYGCAAGGGTCTCACAGTCCGAAGGGGCCGGGACACTGTGGGCGACGGGTTACRGGAAAATTCCTCCGTGGTGGAGATGGTCCCGGAAAGTTAGGYCGTCGGGGGCCGCCACGTGGCRCAGGCCGCYGCGTACCTGGGTTGGGCCTTCGGAACTCYGGAGTCCTTTGTGCGCCKCTACGTCGGCAGTTCACRCAAAACGTATTGGGCCAATAGGGGGCTATGGMCKGCCACGGAACGACACTGAGTTGATRATACSRGAGAAGGAGGCGGAAAGGAGGGAAACTGGTGGTGATCTCAACGAATCCCGGGTGGGTGAAGTAGTAGGTGTGGTCGGGAAAAGGGAAATCGGAGCACCGAGGGTCGCTAGAGGTGGCACAGTGGAAWTCCCGCGGACATAGCCRATTCTCCGTGTGACAGGGGTATCGTGTCCTTATGAGCTCGTTTATTATAGGGGTGAAATAGTCCGGGTCATAGGATGAGTCTGAGCCCCAAGATCGCRTCATGGTATCATCGTCGGTGGGATAGCGCGGGTCGAGATATCGTCACCGCGCACGAGCACGTGTAGGGCAGGCAGACTYAGTGGCGCCTCAACGTGCTCGTAYGGGATGATGGTTCCRCCGCGAATCCTTTTTGGGTGATCGAATCRACGCACGRKAATGCGTGTAAGGGCGCGACTCRGATCRCGTTTACRCGTGTTCTCGCGCRGCGTTCGCGGGACCAGACTTCGGATCGTCGATTATGCAAGATGCAATCATATYGCAACCCCCATCGCGGGATAARCAAAAAYGAGAACAAACCCACTATCRGGGCCAGATTCTTATCCCATCTACARCGACATCAGGTGCACGCGAAGATTCAACWYAGACATAACGCAAGGACAAGGATTCTCARCAAAAAGATAGACAAACAGTCCCATCAWCCATACATCCATACATTTGACAATCATACACATAATGCAAGCAAGACGGACATCGCAAGGASAAGTGTGAGCAAAAACCCAAACTCAGAKTTCAGAAAAGCCGAAMCAAAAATAAGAACRGGCAAACCGCCCGRAGCCGTAATCAAAATGTATGTACACAGGTGAAAAGGGGGAAGAGACAAGAAAACAGCAAATCCGCGTTCATCGACCTCAACTCTCTTCTTCTCTCTCTCTCTCGCCGATGCGGACAGTCCGTCGTCACGCACCAACCCACGAAGTTGTCACCCCGCTTAGTCCTCCCGCACCCGTCGGATTCGYCCRTRCCCACAGTCCGTCGTGGCCCACGTCAATCCCGCGCGTTCGGCACCAGCCCGTCGGGTCGCCCAACTCCTACTGTACTCACCTCTTACTTCGCTCGTGTGCCGACCCTTCCTGATCGCGCAACCCCGAGCTTCCAACAACGGGTTAAGAGAGCTGACTAATCGCGCTGCCAAAATTTATAACGTGCATGCATGCGGGAAGAACACGGAATTACTAAGACTTCGAGTGAGGATTAGAGAGGGAACGCCTGTGTTCTGCATGATCGGCCGCGGCGTGGGGGACGTAACCCTTCTCCACGCATCGATCCGAGCATGTAAGTCGCGGCTTACAAAATTTCAGCAAAAGAAAGAGAGGGARGGCGGGAGAGACGAAGTGCAAGAAGAAAGATACAGTTACAATAGCGTCCGCCCAAAATTACAGTTACACACACGATTAAGGGCGCCCACTAATCAGAGTGCCGTTGAGGCCGCATGAAGAAGCGCGTAGACAAAAAGCGCCGCGCGGCAGGAAAAATCCTAATTACTAAATTCCTAAATTCCTTTCTAATGCGAAAAAGCAAAAAGAAGCACGAATTCCAAAAGGAAAATCCGAAATTCCGAGAGCCATCGGGGGCTCGACAAAATTCGAAAAAGATTTAAAAGGAAATTAAAAAAGAACGAAGCAATTTTCCGCGCGATGTCCGCGCCCAAAAGATCGAAATCGAACCGAAAGAAATGACGTTAACATTTATTAATTGCGCGCGCGCGTGGCGTCGCGCCAGACAACCATCCGGCCAATCAATCAACTGGCCATCCCAAGACACACCTGACGCCGTGCCCGGCCATTCGAAAAAGAGACGATGAAAAAGGACGAAACAGCGAGGATACTGATGCAATTCTCCACCGATCCGGATCTCCCAAAATTAGCCCAATCTTCCCAGCTTAGGACCCCTCATTGCGACCGCGCAGAAAATCGCGTGTTGGAGAAAGTGGTTCGTCACAGGAGGAGGTCATGACCAACTAGTAATAGGTATCTCGATGATAAGAGAGGGTGCGAGTTACTAGTCGGTCTACTTAGGGGCCAATAGGTGATTGCTTGAGCCTGGTGTCCGAAGTTCCCGTGCGACGAGGCTCGTTCAACTATGCTTCCATCAGGGCCGGGTCACAAGCCTTGGTGCTTGTCACTATTGTTCGGTCCAAGTTCCCTTCGATACTGGTAGGGTAACGGTCCTGAGTGCTGGTCACACTGAGGTAGGGTAGTAGGAATAGGAGGTGCGCGAGGAGTATTGACACGACGATGGGATCGGAGGTAGCCTCGTCTCTTCAGGGCAACTATAGCTGACCGCTTCCGGCGACCAAAAAAATAAAAAAATAAAAATAAACTAAAGCATTTGATAATCATTGTGCTAGGTGGGTATACCTGGGTTAATGGATTTCATGAGCTAGACCTTGGCTAAGGGGGGACCATTAGACACTGCCTGTCATATCTGGGGCGCATATCTAGATTCACACACTGGGGAGCCCTGGGTAGGTCTGGGGGACATGATGAGCTCAAGGGCTCGATTACAACTAGTGTTGGAAGTGCCCGATCAACACGGCTTGTTCTATAGTGATTCAACCAAGGCTGGGTATCCTAAGCGCAGCGCTGCTTCCTGTGATTGCTGTTTACTAAGGCTGTCCGCCGAGATAGGTATGCTGGTAGGGGGAGGAGCACCACTCTGCGAAGGCATCATCATGGAGGGCCGTGAGAGTCCTTGTAGGGAGTGAGTGTGAAGTAGGAGGTGTGTTATCCTGAACCGTGGGTGGTGGGTTCGGCTATGGGGTCTGCCATGAGGTGGGCCTTGCCGTGTGGGTGGCAGAGTAATAATACCAACAAGATGGATAGACGGATGGTCCATGTGTGTGCGCGAGTGCTATAGATAGGAAGAACAGGGGGTGCGACAGGAGAGACACGAAGCTTGGAGAAGGAAGAAACGGGGCCTCATGAACAACAGAAAAAAAAAGGGAAAAGAAAAACAAATGCTAAGAAAAGTGGGCTACGCCCTCTCAGCCTAAAGTCTGCTGAAGCCACCTGGCATTGTCTTTTGCTCGGGGCGTAATAAAATTATTTTTTCGTCTCTTCGGCCTGTTTGCTAAAAAATGGGGGACATATGGGCCTCGCTGCACTACTCTCGAAATGTGCAAAACGAGAGTGAATCTTCCGTTAGAATATGGAAAGATACACCGGCAATATTTTTGTTTTTTGTGCATGTCGAGAGTAGTGCAGCGAGGCCCTATATGTGGAGGTGGCGTGCTCGAATTGGAGAAAAATGCCGGAATGGCAATTATGGACTGGAGGAAAACTTTTTTTTTTTTTTTTTTTKTTTGGGGGGKTGGGGGGGGGGGGGGGGAGGAATGACTGGAGAAAAACAAGAGTGACCGAGGAACACAGAACTGAAACCAGAGAAAGGGCCTCGATCAATTACTCACCACATGCACAAGAGACACAAAAATATGGTGGTGTATCTTCCCATGTTCTCCAGGAAGATTCGTTCTCATTTTGCACATTGTGTGAGTAGTTGGGCGAGGCCCAAAGTAGTCATCTTTGGGGCCTCCACGTTTTCGAAACTGACCTCTACTACTGGAAACTGGTTGAGTACATCAACAGGGAATTAGCAACGGCAAACGGGAATTTGAAAAAAAAAAAAGAAAAAAAAAAAAAAGAAAGAAAGAAAGAAAGAAAGAAAAGAAAAGAAAAAGAAACAACGGCAAACGAGCATCAAGTGTGCAAGATGGAGGGAATTAACAAAGGCAAACGCTCGTTCCCAAGCCGCTCCCTTCATACTTCACAACCCTTCTCCCTGTTTACCCGCTTCCCACTTCCAATGCCTTCGTCTTACTTCTCCCATCTCCCGCCCCCCTTCAGCCTATTGTTCTTTCCTCCTCCCTGTTTGGCCATACTCCTAGATTTAGACATAGGATTGCTTTTGCTTTATCTCCCTCTTCGCTGATTCCATCATTTAGCACCTAGTTAGCGAACTCTTTCCTCGTCTCCTCCAGCCCTCCCCTTCTGTATCTCATCTTCTTCCCTCCACACCATCTCTTTCACTCCTCTCCACACCACTTCCTTC